GAAAATGTCTACTTTGCTTCAGTGGGTGAACAGCAGGTGTGCACGGAGTGTGTATGGGGATGTGTGTGTGTGTGTGTGTGTGTGTGTGTGGAAATGGTGTTTGTTATTGTGACTTTGTAGTATACTTAAGGAGCATACCACATATAGTTATTACTATGTGGAGAAGTATACTACCTATAGTTATTACTATATGGAGTAAATAACTAAACCTTAGGAGGTTTCCAAGCTAGGCTTCACTTTACCTATAACATAACCTCTCTGAGCCTTAGTGTTCTCATCTATAAAACAAAGATAATACCAACAAAGAGCTACCACAAGAAATAAACTTAACGTAAAGTTGATTCCCATCCCCATACTTTTCCTTTCCGTTATTCCTTTGGGGCACACAAAGTAATTAAACTTACCAAACATTTACAGGAATTTATTATTGTATAAGGCCTCATGACCAGACACTGCAGAAGATAAGCAACTTATAACTGCTGGCCTCACGGAATTTATAATCTTGAGAAGTTAAAATGAACACAAACTGGGCCTCCCCGGTGGCGCAGTGGTTGAGCACTGGGTTTCGAAGCTGCCCGCAGCCTCTGCAGCGCCAGTTAGATCCCCGGCTGCTCCCCGGCCACCGGAGGAGGGTCCCACATGGCGCGCAGACCTCTCCTGCCGCCCGCTGCTCCTCTCAGCAGTGTACTTCGGTCCTTCTGCCTGCTCTGCTCCCCGCTCTGACTCAGTGAATTCTCTCACCCTCCCGCGCTTCTGATTGTACCCAGTGCTTGTATAAATAAATAAATAAATCTTTAAAAATTAAAATAAATAAATAAAAATAAAATGAACACAAACTTAAGTTCCTTATGTCGCTTTGCACAGTCACTTATCCCCACAGCTCTTCCTTGACTTAAGATGGAGTTACCCCAATAAACCCATCGTAAATTGAAAATACCCTAAGTCAAAGATGTAATTTAATAAGCCCAACTTACTGAACTGTCATTCCTTAGTCTAGCCTACCTTAAGCATGCTTCAAACATATTAGCCTGCAGTTGAGTAAAATCACCTAACACAAAGCCTATTTTACAATAAAGTATTGAATAACTTACGTAGTTTATTAAATATTACACTGAGAGTGAAAAACAACCAGTAGCGCATGCGTTGTTACTCGTGCAAGTGCATGGCTAACTGGGAGATGTTTTGCCGCTGCTGCCCAGCATCACGCAAGTGTATCACACTGCTATCACTAGCCTGGGAAAAGAACAAAATATTATTTTTTTAAATTTTTTTTAAAGATTTATTTATTTATGCATACAAGAGCTGGGGCACAGGCCAGAGATGCAGAGGGTGAGAGGATCCACCAGAGACAGAGTGGGGAACAGAACAGGCAGACTGACTCAAATACACTGCAGCGGGAGCAGTGGGGAAAGCAGGAGAGGTCTGCCTCGCCATGTGGGTTTCTCCCTGGCCGGCCGGGGATCGAACTCGTGCTGCAGAGGCTGTGGATTGCTTCATAGTGCAGTGCTTAACCCCTTGCGCCACCAGGGAGGAAGAATAAAATTTTAAATGCAGTTTTTGCACCATCATAAAGTCAAACCATAAGTTGGAGACTGAATATATAATGTAGTCTCCCAGAGTATAAGAATTTACCCCTAGTACTATGCTTGGAACTTAGTCAGCATACAAACTGGGAAGAAGCAATCCAAAGAAAATAGTAATTCATACATTTTATTAAATGTATCTTAACTCCAAAAGATAGGAAGTTACTCAAGGTGCTTTTTTTTGGGGGGGGGGGGAGGGAGACAAGCAGGAGAAGGTATATAACAAGAGGAAAAGAATCATCTTTTGAATTTTTTTTAAACTCATGCCTTAAAGAGCACTTTTCCAATAATTTATATCACATTTTTCAAAAAGCAATAACTTACTGTTTTAATGATATAAGCTAATATAAATTAAAAACACAGTGCTCTGCCAGGGATAGTGTCTAGTAGCATCCAGATCTAGAGGCATTTAGAATAGTCCAGGATTTGACAGACCTACCCTACCAAACAGCCTATAACAAGACTAGATTGCCCTGAATCCCTGGTTATAGAACTGTTTACCTTTATACAGTAAAAGTTGGGAAAGCACCAACATCTGCATGTGGCACGTGCTCAAGCCAAATTCAAGGAGTTCATGCTGTGAGACCTAAAGTTCTTATGAGGCATCTAAAACAAAAAAACATGTCAGCAAAGTCTCTGGCGCTCCATGCGCACTAAGTGCACCTGTAACAGGATCAAGCATGCTCTTCTTATGGAGGAGCAGAAAACAGAATCAGAAAGCTAACTGAAAAATGAAACTTTTTTGAATAAATAAATCAAAGGCTTTGCCATCAACAAATGCTCTATTTCACAGGTGGGCAAACTACAGCCTGCAGCACCAGCAATAGATCACTTCCAATGTTTTGGAGACTGAAAACTTGAGCCAGTGCTAGATGTGGAGGAAAGTTCCTTCCTAGACCCATTTAAATACTCTCATTTCTTTTATCTTGGTGTCACATCTTAGGGATTAAAAAAAAAAGAAAGAAAGAAAAAACTATAATCTCACCCAGGGCGCAGTTTGCCTGCAGAGTTGTGCTGACGCCTGGCCAGCCACTGCACCACAAGTTCAATCCCCAGCCAGGGAGCTATCCACATGGCACAGCAGACTTCTCCTGATTGGACCGCTGATCCCCTCAGCAGTCTATTTCAGTCAAATCTTCCTGTTCTGTTCCCCACTCTGTCTCTGGTGAATCCTCTCACCCCCCACACCTCTGGCCTGTACCCCTGTTCTTGTATGCATAAATAAATAAATCTTTCCCAAAAAAAAAAAAAGTGTAAAAGAGACCGGGCAATCCAACAAAACTACAGGGTGATTGGGAAAATCTGGAAAGCAATGGGAACCTATCAGATTAAAACACAACAAAGAAAAACTAAGTTTTCATTTCAGCACAATGGGGTACACAGAGAGCATTAAAAATCATCTCCCAAGACAAGCAGCACAATAATGAGACATCCTTCTCCCTACACATGAGAATGGTGTGAAAATATCAAAATTAGTTTGAAACTATCAACCCTGAAAAGTATTCTGACTCCAAACTGAGTCTATCTTATTCATCCCAAATGATTCTACAGAAGAAATAAAAATTCAATACACATAGTTTAAAGAAATGAAGGAGTAATATTTAAGTGGGGTAGAGATCTTACAAACTCAAAAGTTTGATAAAAAGTTTTTAAGAGGTCTCTAATCGATAGAATATTGATATTCATTGTGTACCTGCTTTAGATGAGAAACTAATTAGAAATACACACCTCCTTCTCCAACAGCACTATTTTGGTCCTTTACTGTTAATCCCTAAAATACAAACTGGAACTCTGGATTATGAACACATTCAATGCACTTTTTTAAATATGCCAATGCATTTAAAATTTACTTCACAAGCCTGACTTTCTGCATTGGCTTCATTTCTAATAATGAAATTAGCACTATGATATCAATGTAATCAACAAATAAAAACTCGTACCATTAATTACAATAAAAAATTATTTAACATGAGAAAAACCAGACCAGAAAAAGTGGCTCTAAACCACTAATATGCACTATAGAAGTGTTAATTCACACACAGGACTTATTAAGCATTGATACAGCACATTTACATTTGCCAAGTGCTTCATAATCATTTTTAATAGCTGTTTCTAGTCCCAAACATCCATGAAGAACTTCACAGAAGAGGAACCTAAACCCAGAGAGGAACCAAAGAAAACCAATTCTACTGTGGAGGAAATAACACCGTTCTCTTACATTATGCCTTAGAAAAAAGTGATTAGATCCTTCAAATCACTTTTCATCAGCAGTATAATATTGCAAAAAATAAGTCATGAATTAATGAACATGAAAAATATCAAAGAACATTGTATTGAATTGCCTGGAACAAACTGCCTGCTAAAACACTTAAAAGTACTTAGGACAACCATATTTCATTACATAGACACAACTACAAGGAAGTAAAATTCTCCCAAATGTCAAGCTTAAAGTGGCTTTAGAAAAAGGCGTTATTTTCTGTACTTGCTTTAAAAAAGAGATAATCAAAGAGGCCCCAACACACAAGCACGAAGTTAGGTGCTGTAATAATGAGTCAGGTCCGCTACCAAAAAAAGTAGAACCTAGTGAAAAAGCAGTGTTTGTGAAGAGGAAGTTCTGGAAGAACTCAGAATTTGTTGCTTAGCACGTTCAGTCAATACATCTTTCAGAAGATAATGGTTCTAACCAGAACTTGTGGTTTAATCAGTGCATATCTCAGCACCAGTAATAGATCACTTCCAATGCTTTGGAGGCTAAAAAACTTGAGCCAGGGCTAGATGTGGAGGAAAGTTCCTTCCTTGGCCCATTTAAATACTCTCATTTCTTTCATCTTGGTGTCACATCTTAGAGATTAAAAAAGAAAGAAAGAAAGAACTATAATCTCACCAGGGCGCAGTTTGCCTGCAGAGTTGTGCCGACCCCGGGTCCCCCCATCAGACGAGCCCATAAATGTAATTAATTCCCTAGTCAGACCAGACCCCTCGGCCGGCGAACCATCCTAGCCGGTAAATCAAATCCTCTGCCTGCCCCCCTCCCTCCATCTTCCCGGCCAGTTCCCTGACCCACATCCCTGCACCCTGACAGAGCCCCACAGAACCCCCAGTCCCAGGAGACTTCCGCCCCGCGACTCCCCAGCACCCTTCACCCCAGCTCCCACCCCATCTTTGTCTCGTTACCCCAAACACGCCACCTCCACGACCCCCGAGCCCCCCCGCGGCCCATCCCCCACCGCCGGCCGCCCCCCTCCCCGGCTCCGCGCCACCCCACGCCCCCCACCCCGGGGCGCCGTCACCCCAGCTCCCGGTCCCCCCAGCCCCGCACGACCCGTCCCCTCCCCCAGCTTCCTCCGTCCCTTCCTCTCCTGCGCGGCCCCGGGCTCACGCCCCCCGCGGCGCCCTCGGGCCCCGGCGGCCTCTCACCTTGTCCATGAGCTTCCAGCACTTCTCCACCATCTTCTTGTCCACGGCGCCCGGCGGGTGGGGGCTGAGGTGGTGGTGGTGGTGCGGCTGGAACGCGTCCTTCATGAGCCCGATCAGGCCGCCCGCGCCCGAGCCCCCGGAGCCGCCGCCGCCCGCGGCCCCGGAGCTCTTCTTCACGTTGCCGGCCATGGCCCGGGGAGGTCGGGCCGGGCCGCGTCCACCGGCTCCGCTCGGCTCGGAGCGGGCGAAGCGGAGGGGTGAGGAGGGGCGAGGAGCGGTGAGGAGCGGTGAGGAGGGGCGAGGAGGGGCGAGGAGGGGCCTCTCCCGGCCGCCGAAGCCGCCGCCGCCGGCCGTCCGGGCGGAGGGAGGGGCGCGCGGGGAGGGAGGAGGGGGCGGGGCCGGGCGCGCGTCCGCGCCGCGCGTCCCCTCAGAGGGCGTGAGCCCCGGGCGGGAGGAGGACGCCGAGCTCCGGCAGCCGCAGCCTCGGCCCAGCTGGGGCGCTACCACCCAGCGCCACCCCCTCCCGGCCGCGGCTCCCGGAAAACCGCGACCAAGTTTCCGCGCCGCCACCCCCGCCCCTACCTTCGGGGGCGGCCTGGGGCGGAGCCACGCGGGGGCTTTGCGCCTGCGCCCTCTGCTGGAGAGAACGGGGAAGCGAGGGGGCGGGGTCTAGTTGGAGTCTGCGCACTAGGCGGAAGCGGAGCCGTCCATGTTTCTTGTGGGAAGTAGCCTGGCGCTCGTCGAGTTTGGGTTGAGACAGGTAGCAGTAGAAGAGTTTTAGCAGTAAGTCTTTCTCCCACGCTAGGCAAATGAAGAAATTCTTCATATTGTGGGGATAAAAGGGGAGGTCATTTACCCACCCTCTGATTTTGTTTTTGTTTTTTTTTCCCCAAAGATTTTATGCATATAAGAGCTGGGGTACAGGCCAGAGATGGGGGGGGGGGGAATCACCAGAGACAGAGGGGAACAGAACAGGCAGACTGGCTGAAATACACTGCTGAGGGGAGCAGCGGGTGAGCCAGGAGAGGTCTGCCTCGCCATGTGGGTTGCTTCCTGGAGAGCTGGGGATCTAACTCTCGCTGCAGAGGGTGCTGACAGCTTCACAGTGCGGTGCTTAACCCCCTGTGCCACCAGGGAGGCCCCCTCTGATGCTTTTAACTCCTCATTAGGACCCAGGACAGGAATGCGAATGCTGCTGATTGTTCCAGCCTGAATTAACCCTGAAAGACTTGAAGAAGCTCAGCCCAGGCCTCTTCTTCCAGGCCCTTTGACCTTCTAAAAAGAAAGCACAAAACCACCCCTCCCCACTCACACCCCCCTCATTTTTTTCCTCTGAGCGCTAGTTCCTTTTCTGGGAATTGAATATATACTTAAGATTGTTCTGCTGAGCACATTGCGCTAGGCCCTGTGAGCCCTGACCCAAGGACTAGCTCCTCCCAAGGAATAGGAATGCATTTCCCAGTCACTTCCACTTCTCTAATCTGAAAGTTTCGTTGGAACAACTTTGAAAAAAAAGGAACTTCCCTGCCAAAGAAGGAAGTGCCTTGCTCTAACATGCTAATTCTGAGCCTCAGCTCTGGGAGTTTGCAGGCCCTGACGTAAGTACTCAGTTCCTTCTTAGATACCACACCTGACTTTTCCACAATGCCCTTGTCTGATTGTCTGATCAGGGAATTAACCTTATCTAGTACTTTGGGCTGGGGGCAGGGAATATCTCCGAACTCAAGAACTCTTCAGCCTGACATCCTTGTCTTGCAGTTCTGTAACCTTGATCTAAATTGATTATGGAGTCAGCATTGCCATTTCCTGTAAGAATTTCCTTTGATCAGTTCCTACCTGGAAGGAGAATATCCCAATGGAAAATCTAGGCAGAACTCTTAGTAATTGTTAAAATTCCATCCCTAGTGCCACCACCCTAATTGTAGTCCTGTTTTTCTGTCCCGTTGTCTCTTGAAACTTTTCCCTCACTAGGTCCCTGTTCTCTCCAACCCATCCTGCCACCAGACTGTAGTTCTAACAGCATCACTAAAAAACTCAAACACTGCCCATGGCCTCCTGAATAAAGTTAGCAGTCATGACTAACTCCAAGCTACCTTGCAGTTTTCTACTATTCCAATACATGCCTTACCCTGTTACTTATAAAGTAACACAATTCTTTCTTTTTTGAGAGCATTTGCTGAGTGTGAAGTGCTGCTAATGTCCAATCCATTCTTCAAAGCTCAACTCAAATATTGTCTTCCTTACCACACATACAGCTAAAAACAAGTCTCTAAATTTCCATAACCATTTATTTTTCATTCCTACCACATATTGACACTATACTGTCTTATCAAGTTTGGGCTTCTACAGTATCTAACACAACATATGTTCACAAGGGAATTTTCCCCTTCTCGATAAATCCTAGGCGTAATAGCATGCAAGCAAGAAATTAACACTTTGGAGCTGTGCATGAGCTTTTATAGGGCATCTACACATCTCTGGCTTGGCTTAAATCTCCAATTTGTATTTTCTTCACTGTGTTTAGAATGGAATTGCATCATTTGCACTCCCCTTCTGCCACAGACAACCCATATTTTTTTACTATACAAATGACTTATCTTTCACATTTGAATAAAGGAGAGGGCCTCCCTGGTGGCGCAGCAGGTTGAGCGCAGCGCTGTGAAGCTGTTCGAAGCCTCTGCAGCACAGGTTCGATTCCCGGCCGGCCAGGGAGAAACCCACATGGTGGGGCAGACCTCTCCTGCCTCCCCCACTGCTCCCCCCAGCAGTGCCCTTGGTCCACACCCTGCTCTGTCTCTGGTGAATTCTCTCACCCTCCCATGCCTCTGACCTGTACCCCAGTTCTTGTATAAATAAATAAATCTTAAAAAAAAAAGGGGGGGGGAGAGTAGAGAGTGAGTCTTCTCTCCTGTAAATCTCTTCAGAGCTTCCACATGAAATACTATTGAAAGAAATTCAGAGTTCTACTGAAATGATCACCCCTATTTTACTTCCAGACTGAGGTTAGTGATAACATTCATTTGAAGAGGTGAACTTATGTCCCTGAAACATATAGAATTATAAATCAATGAAAGTCCCTGCAATTTAAAAATAATTTGATATAAAAATAAAAAAATATAATAGAAGTTAGTGAAAAAAAGAAGAGTCACCTTTTTCCACAACTTTTTCTTGGCTTCTTTTCAAAATGCACTGAAGATAGGATTGGATTTTTTATCACTCTGGTTAATGTAGAACTGGCTCTATTTGTGTCACTTCATGTGACATATTGCACTTTTCTTATTCCACTTCACCTTCACCCCAAACCACATCCTCATTTTGCACCTGAAAGTCGGTTGACTGAACATATTTGAAAAGTAAATGCTCTTTGAGGCACGATATGCTGATTGTCTTCTGTAACCTCTGTCCTCAATTGCCACTCCCAGCATCAACATAACAGACACTAATCTTTTAATGGAAAACATCCTCAAACAAGTTTCTAGATAAAGAGAAGGACTGAAGGATAGGGACGAGAGCCTTTACAGCATGCCCAGGCAGGAAAAGTGGGTTCTAGGAGAGAATAAATGAAAAATATGCTTTAAGATTAGGAGAAAAGTATTTTCCAGATTTAGAAAATGCCCAAAGATTATCTGATCCTGAGATGCAGGAGCTCTACATGCCTGGAATATCAAGCCTGCTGCTTCTCTTTACTCTAAAATGTCAGAAGGGTCAGAGAAGTAACCCGCAGCCACCATGATAACAAATAAACATGGATCGGTCTGAATCTGCCTGTTCCCCAGAGGAAAAAAATTTTTTTTTTTTTATTCCCAGATCACATGGCTATTCCTTCAGATCTACTCCTGACAACAAGAAATTGACCACAAATTTTGGGGAAAATTATGATAGAAATATCTAAAGAAGGAGTCTGCCTGTCCCTTAATCCACAAGGGGGAAAAACCTTTAAGTTTTTGCGATTTTCATTCTAGCCACTATGGTGTCACAAAATCCAGGTGGCCGACAGAATGACAAGTCTCCAGAATAACACAAGGCTGGAAGAGAGGGTGGGGGCTGCCAGACAGGGCGTATCACTTGTCATGTCATACTCCCTTCTCCAAATCATTTTTCCAACCATTCATGACTCCAGCAGGATGCTAGCAGTTGTCCCCAATAGGGCGGCACCCCCAACATTGCCCAATGAATAATTAAAATACAAAAAAAGTAAGCTAGACTTTTCAGAGGAAGTCAAGCAAGTCCACTAGAGGGAGCCCCAACCAATTCAATGCTCCAGGAAGCCTCACATTTTTCTGCAGCTGAAGAACCACAGAAGAGGGGCTAGGGGGAAGCAGTCAATAAATTAAACATGAGAGAAGGTAGCCCTGTAAGTATACCCATTAAAACCCAGACCTTTCAGGATTTACAATATCAAATAATCAAAGACCAGGTAACTGAGGCTGAGCAAAGGTCTACATTCCGGAGAGGAGACTAGAACTCTGACCAGGACCTCTTCCTCTACATTTGCATCCCTCTACATCAACACACTGTACCTGAGGGTCCCCATTTCTCTAAAGTGAGAAACTCTCTCCTCTACCTACTTCTGCATTTCTTTCCCTCATACACAGTGGAATGCCTTAATAAATGGGGCTCTTCAGTTTTTTTGTTTTTTTTTTTTTATAGAGGCATTTTTTTTTTATTTTATTTATTTATTTGTTTGTTTGTTTTTGTTTATACATGCACTGGGTACAGTCAGAAGCACGGGAGGGTGAGAGAATTCACCAGAGCCAGAGCGGGGAGCAGAGCAGGCAGAAGGACCGAAGCACACTGCTGAGGGGAGCAGCGGGCGGCAGGAGAGGTCTGCGCACCATGTGGGACCCTCCTCCGGTGGCTGGGGAGCAGCCGGGGATCGAACCGGCGCCGCAGAGGCCGCGGGCAGCTTCGCAACCCAGCGCTCAACCGCTGCGCCACCGGGGAGGCCCTTAAACCTAATTATGTAATTTTGCCAGTGGGACCCTGGCATGTGACTTGCTCAAAATGGCTACCATGGGTGAAGTTCCTCTGTATCAGCTCAACAACATTACTCCAGAGGCATAAATCCGTAATTTTAAGTCTCCAAATTGCAGGCAGTGCTACATGGAAGTAAATCATAACTGACTCCAAAGCCCTTTCTCTTCAAACTACACTGGGATTTCAGGATAAGGGAAGAAGTGGTCCTCTGAACCCTTGGTTATTTTATGCTATAGAAACTGATTTAGCCATTCCATCTCCCTGT